TATGCACACACAAACGAGTACAGATAGTTTTCAGTTTAAGACCATTCATTTAACAACTCTTTGGAGGTATGATGGTACTGAAAAAAGTGATTTACAATTAGTCCTCACACTTACGACTGTTATAGCACCCCTCCCCCCATGATCACATGATCAAATTTCAGATGCTTGATGTTAAGATATTTAAATTTAGTAGCTGGAGCAGTGGGGCTGTGCAGTGAGCCAAACCCCTCCCCCCACAGTTCTGGTTGATTGGTTGAAAAGGTTTTGTGTGAGGCAATCTGTGCTGTGATTGGTTGCTGCAGGTGCGGAGGGGGAGTTTCCCTTTTCCCCCGCTTTTTTTCTTCTGTGTGCCCTGTGCGCCCTGTGATTTACCTCACGAAGCTCCTGTTTGCCTGACTATCTAGTTTGCTGTATATATATAGTTGTAAAATATATTTATTTATATAAAACTACAAGTTCGTATCAGCATCTCTGACACTTGGCAACTGGCATGTACTTACAACGGTTGCAGCATCCTGGGGTCACATGATCACCCTTGCAATCTTCCCAGTTGGTTTCTAACAAGTGAGGTCAAAGGGGGAAGCGGGATACTTAATGACAGGATGAATTGCTTAATGACAAAGCAAGATTATAAAATCAGGAGCAACTCATTTAACGACTACTTCGCTTAGCAATGAATTTTTTACAGTCCCAATTATAGTTGTGTGAGGAGGATGACCTGAGTATGTGTACATTATAGGATTATCTTTTTTTTTTAAAGACATAAAATAATTCTACGTCTTTTCTTGTTTTCAGAAAAGTTAAAATCAAGTACTTTACCTTTTAAATAATAGAACTGCCAGTGAAAGCATTTGAACACACAGGTTATTCTTTGTAAAAATCAGAATTCTTTTGGGATTCGGACTGGTCAACCCAACATGCAAGCAAAGCCAGACCTTTAAAAATGTATTTGTTTCTGTTTATTTTACTTGGGAAATACAAAAGCATCCTGGAATCAGAACAGCCGTACATGCAAATGCCTCCAATCAAAGCAAAGGTTTCATTCTTTGAATATGGATAAACTCAGCATTCGAACGAGTTCACAAAAACATATCCTGGGCTGGTTCAATGCAACAAATTCAGCTTAACATCAGACGAAACTGAATCAGCTTGGATCCACCATTGCCTCCCTGCCCCCCCTTATTTCTCTTTTCACTCGTCATTCCTGTGCATGCTCACTCCTGCTCTTCCTATGAACTGTGAGCAGGAAGGGAGATGTGCAACCTAAACAAGTCTTTGCCTGCAGCTGATGGTTTCCTACTTCAGATCCTTCCGCTGGGGCCTGGATGAACAAACGAGGCCCTTCTCTCATATCTATATCTGTATCTTCTATCTATCTATCTATCTATCTATCTATCTATCTATCTATCTATCTATCTACCTACCTACCTACCTACCTACCTACCTACCTACCTACCTACCTACCTACCTATTATCTACCTCTCTCTCCCTCCCTCCCTCCCTCCCTCCCTCTATCTATCTATATATCTATCTATGCCAGGGGTGTCAAACTCAATTTCACTGAGGGCCGCATCAGCATTGCGGTTGCCCTTGGGGGGCCGGGTGGGTGTGGCCAGAGTGGGTGCAGCCTACTGGGTGGGTGTGGATGGAGTGGGGGTGGCCTACTGGGTGGGCGTGGCCAGTTCTACATCATTCTCATCAAGGGTGCCTGTGGGGGCCTGGGCAGGAGTGGGACAGATCTGAGGGTCTCTGGCAGAAGGGGGGGGGGGACCAAGGCAAGCGCCAAGGCATGGTCCATTTCTTCATTCTTCACAAAGGGTGACACCTCCCCAGCATGCACCCAGGGGGCGGGGCCAACGTGGCAGGTGCTGGTTCCTCGCTGTTTCTGGATGGCCTTGTGGAACTAAGACTGAATGCGTTTCAGCATAAATGGCCACCACAAAATTGTACATTGGTTCCCGGCCAGCCTGGGCCAGGGCCAAGGCAGCAGGGGCCGTTCCCTCACTGTTTCCAGGATGGCTTCGCGGGCTACATGAAACCACTTTGTGGGCCACATCCGGCTCCTGGGACTTGTATTTGACATGTCTGATCTATGTGAAGGGCCTTGTTTGTTCATGCAGGCCCCACTGGAAGGTTCTAAATATATAATATTTACAATTTATATATTTTGATAAATGAACACACACACACACACACACATACAATATACGTACAATATATATACTGCTCAAAAAAATAAAGGGAACACATCCTATAGGATTTCTTATAGGATGTGTTCCCTTTATTTTTTTGAGCAGTATACATACAATATTCATTTATCAAAATATAATATACAAAACTACAAAGAAAAATAAAAATAGGGGAGGAAAAGGGGAAGAGGAAGAAGTGTAGGGTAAAGGGGAAAAGAAAAAGAAATGGCTAAATTGACTACTTGGATTAAAAAAGTGCAATTAATTTAGTTTCATCTTAGAAACCACTTTTGGACTTTGTGCTTGAAGTAGAAAAAAAGGAATTTGGATTTTGGGTTTTGCTGATTAGATAGGTTTGTTGTTATAGAGATGGCTAGTATATCCAGGGCTTTTTTTTTTTTTTAATCATAGAACGCCCAGAACGGAGTTCGGCACCTTTTTTGGATGGAACCTTGTAGGGCAGGCAAGGCGGGTTGTATGACGTGTGTGAGTTCCGGCACCTTTTTTTTTTAATTACAAAAAAAGCACTGAGTATATCTTATTATGTAAAAGTGAGAAGCTGAGGTTGTACATTATTATCTTATTTTACTGCCCTAAACAAGGGTCTTTTCAACACAAAGGTTTTCAAAATGGAACAATGGACAATTTGAATTCTCTTCCCAATATCATGCAACCCCTTGACCGATTTCTACTCATTGGTCTTGCAGGTAGTCCTTGACTTATAACAGCTCATTTAGTGACTGTTCAAAGTTATATCACTGATAAAAGTGACTAATGACCATTTTTCACACTTATGACCATTGTAGCATCCTCATGGTTATGTGATCAAAATTCAGACATTCGGCAACTGACTCATATTTATGACCTTTGCATTGTCCTGGGATCATGTGATCACCTTTTATGACCTTCCAACAAGCAAAGTCAGTGGGGAAGCCAGATTCACTTAACAACCGTGCCAAAAACATAACAACTGCAGTGATTCACTTAACAACTGTAGCAAGAAAGGTCATAAAATGGGGCAAATCTCACTTAACAAATGTCTCACTTAGCAACATAAATTTTGGTTTCAACTGTAAGTCGAGAACTACCTGTAGTTTCTTCTCTCTGAGTGCTTTGATTAGATGTGTGAACTGAACTCATATTCTTATGCAATGAATTGATTTTTCCTATCTGATTTAACATGTCTGAAATGTAAGAACACATATAAAAACATGGGTTGCCTTTGGATTTTTCTGCAATGCAAAGATAATCTCATCTGTTCAGTTTGTGAATCAGAGTGTCTTACACCTCTGCATGTCATTTACATTATGTATAAAATGTTAGTTACACATGCATGGTGTTTTTGACTGGATCAGAACGGAATTATCTGCATTCAACGTAAGAACTTGGTCTATTCCAATGTTTCTCAATCTTGACAATTTTAAGGCATGTGGACTTCAACTCCCAGAATTCCACAGCCAGCATTGCTGGCTGTGGAATTCTGGGAGTTGAAATCCACATGCCTTAAAATTGTCAAGGTTGAGAAACACTGGTCTATTCAATATATTATAGAGACACTGGTCTCTAGCAGAACTAATCTCTCAGAACTAATCCTTCCATTCCCCCGTCCACCATCCAGCCGGATCTTCGAAGCTTCTGGGATGAGAAGGGAAACATCTTCTTCCTCAAGGGAAGCGAAACATGATCTTCTTCCTCAATAGAACTGAAGAAGCTTCTTGGATGAGAAGGAAAACGTCTTCTTCCTCAAGAGAAGCGAAACGTCTTCTTCCTCCTGAACAAAACTGAAGAAGCTTCTTGGATGAGAAGGGAAAAGTCTTCTTCCTCAAGAGAAGCGAAACATCTTCTTCTTCTTCCTGAACAGGACTGAAGAAGCTTCTTGGATGAGAAGGGAAACATCTCCTTCTTCAAGGGAAGCGAAACATGGTCTTCTTCTCCTGAACAGAACTGAAGAAGCTTCTTGGATAGAAGGGAAATGTCTTCTTCCTCAAGGGAAGCAAAACATGATCTTCTTCCTCAATAGAACTGAAGAAGCTTCTTGGATGAAAAGGAAAACGTCTTCTTCCTCAAGAGAAGCGAAACATCTTCTTCCTCCTGAACAAAACTGAAGAAGCTTCTTGGATGAGAAGGGAAAAGTCTTCTTCCTCAAGAGAAGCGAAACATCTTCTTCTTCTTCCTGAACAGAACTGAAGAAGCTTCTTGGATGAGAAGGGAAACATCTCCTTCCTCAAGGGAAGTGAAACATGGTCTTCTTCCTCAATAGAACTGAAGAAGCTTCTTTGATGAGAAGGAAAACGTCTTCTTCCTCAAGAGAAGTGAAACGTCTTCTTCTTCCTGAACAGAACTGAAGAAGCTTCATGGATGAGAAGGGAAAAAAAGTCTTCTTCCTCAAGAGAAGCGAAACATCTTCTTCTTCTTCCTGAACAGAACTGAAGAAGCTTCTTGGATGAGAAGGGAAACATCTTCAAGGAAAAAAAAAACGAGGAAAGTCCAGTTGCCTCTTGGAAAAAGCACTTTGGGGACCTGAGCTATTAAATATTCTCCTTTCTTCCACGCAGTCCCTCCGCGCGCCCCAAAAACCAAGCGAGGGCTGGTGCGGTGCGGCGCGGTGCAGTGCGGGAGCTTTGGCTCGTGGCCGCGCGCCTCCTCCAGGCGGCCGGATAGGAAAGTACGTAGACGCGCGCGCTCCCGCCTCTCGGCTACTCGCCAGCTTTCCTCTCCCCTCCCCCGCTCGCTCGGCGCGCAGGAGGAGGAGGAGCAGCAGCAAGAGCTCCCGGCGGGGGGAGGAGGCTGAGCCGCCCGCTGCCGGCTCTTCTTTCCTTCCCCTGCTCCCCCCCGGGAAGCGGCTTGCTCTGCGCTCCGCTCTCTCTGTCACTTTTTTTTTTTTTGCTTTCCACCCCTTTTTCCCCTCCCCTCTTTTTTTTCTCCCCCTTTTTTCTTTTTGCTCCCACTTTGTTCGCGCTCCCAGGCAGCAGCAGCGGCGGCGGAGGCGGCGGGAGCTGCAATTGCAAGCCTAGGAAGAGCCGCTGCTTTGCAATTCGGCCGGGGGGACCCCCTCCCCCACTTCGTCTTTCCCAACCCCCCCCAAAAGAAATCGCGATCCTTAACTCCCTCCACCCGCCCAAACGACAACTAAGCGGCCCCCTTCCACGCACCCCATGGCGAAATGAGCCCGGCCGCCGCCTCCGCCTCCTCTCTTTCCCCCGTCTCTAAGATGGAGCAAGCAAGAAACTAACAAAGAAACAAGCCAGCTTCGGCCTTGGTGGGAGCCACGATCATGCTTTTTTAATGGACCGAATGCCGGCCGGTTGCAGCGGAGATTTTTACAGCTTTGCAGGGGAGAAGGTGAGCATTGCTGGGCATACAAAAAGGCTGTTGTATTGGGACTTTTTTTTTGGGTTCCAAGTTGGAGCTCTCCGAAACAATTCGCGTAAAGCGGGTCGTTGTTGGCTTTTCTGCCGCGTAACTTCCTTTGTATTGCTTCGTTACCCATAGGGGCATTTGTTTAAAAAAGAAAATCAATCCCGGTTTGGCTTGGTTTGGTTTAGTTTTTGCAGATGACTGTAATAGTATAGGATGTTTTTGTTCTGCCGAAATGCAATCCGGGGACGCGTCTTTTGCAATTGCTCAGTCTTGACATTCTGAGCCTTAAATGCACTTTCTGGTTTGGGCCTTTATTTGCCCCCTTAGCATTCGGACGCGCATAGAGGCCGTTTGCAAACCGTTGCTGCATCTATGCCGCCGTTCAATTTCGGAACCCCCTTAGGGGTTGGAAGCCTTCCTGCAGGGCCGTGGCTTTTATTTTGCACGAAATAAACCGTCCTTTTTCTGGAAGAAGGAAATAGCAAAATGCACACAGCTTTCCCCATGCCCGGTTGCTTCGGGGCTTTTTTGGGGGGCGGGGATGCACTTTTAAGCAAGGCTGGTGCTAAAGCTCTCCTTGTGATGTTGTTGTTTACATAATGCATGCGGGGACCCGGGGAACGTCCTATTGTGTGTGCAAGCACCGAGCTTTGCCATAGAAACGGTCGGCGGGAGGGTTGCAAAAGGTGGCTATTATCTGGATATTGCTGTTTGCACGGTGGGAAACAGGAAGGCGACGACGGGCCCTGGGAATTTCGGCGATCTTGTTTTGGGGGGGGGGGGCGAGGAAAGCAGAGCCCCGACTTGCACACGGGTCTTGTAACGGTGCAAAGATGATTGCAAAGAGGACAGTTGGGTCGTTTCTCTCGAATTTTTTTTTTTTTTTTTAAAAAATTGCATACTCAAGTTTGGCTGCCTGCGATGAGCTGGAGTCCTTTTTGCATCAAGACCATCTGAAAGCTTTCTGTAGAGTTGTGCGGGAGAACAAAAATTCAAATAAGCCTATTTGAATTTTATTTTAAACCCTGTCCTGCTGCTGCTGAGATTCAGGTTCCTTGTTTACGTCCAGCGCGTCTTTCTCTCTTGTCTCTTTTTGTTTCTGTGACGTCACGGGCTATCACAATCTTGCAAATGTTCAGAGCTGCATTTGCGCCCCCGTTGCAGCAATTACCCGGGAGGTCCGAACCATGGTTAAATGGTGGTTTTGGTTTGCCTCCCTCCCTCCCCTGCAAAACGAGACCAACTTTTGCAAGGCCACCACGGTGGTTTCCAAAACCTTAAACTTTTTGATCAACAGTGGGGCAAAGGACGGTTTTGCAAATCGGGGCCACTCCTACTTGAAAATGCCCTGTGATAGAAGTTTGATACAGTTTGTGGCACAAGTGGGCAGGCCGAGAGGGGTGTGTCAGGGGCTGGACATGCCAGTGACCACAATCTACATGGATCTGGGCCAACCAGGCGAGAGATCTTATTGCACTGGTGTTGAGTGACATGCATAAGCCTAGGCCAAATATTAACTAAAAGAAAAAAGAAAATCCTGACTGGGCTTGAGGCCTTGTTGCCAAAACTGATCATCGGATGCCAAATGATTATTTAATGTGATGTACTTGTTTATTTGTGTGGAGTTCAAGGAGAGGGAAGAGCAAATGAAAGTTTGCCCTGAAGGTTTTATCCTGAGAACCAATTGCGCCAATTCTTGCAAACTTCACAGTGGAGAAAAGAGCTGGCACAGACACATTACTTTTGAGAGTGGTGTGTTCCTCACAAGAGTAGAAAAATGCCCCAAATCATGTAACATCGTACATCGAATAAAAATTCTCTGTCCCTCTGGATTCACTAGCAACTTCCCCCCTCCCAAAGTTTTTATGGCACTTATTGAATTGAATTCTTTATTGGCCTAGTGCAGGGGTCTTCAAATTTGGCCCTTTTATGACTTGTGGACTTCAACTCCCAGAATTCTTCAGGCAGCATGCCTGGCTGAGGAATTCTGGGAGTTGAAGTCCACAAGTCATAAAAAGGCCAAGTTTGAAGACCCCTGGCCTAGTGTGATTGTACACATAAGGAATTTAGCACAGGGGTAGGCAACCTTGGCTCTTTTATGACTCATGGACTTCAACTCCCAGAATTCCTGAGCCAGCATGGCTCAGCTTGGAAACCTCTCCCTTTCCCCTCAGCATGGTTGGCTCAGGAATTCTGGGAGGTGAAGTCCACAAGTCATAAAAGAGCCAAGGTTGCCTACCCCTGCTCTAGCACATCTCACCTACCTACAACAACAAAATGATAGGCCATAGATTATTAACCATATTTACAATAATTAATCATGATACAAACAACATGTGATAAATATAAGATACCAATAGGAGAAGATAGTAGGAAGGATGAGAAAAGTGGAAGATGGATAGTAGCAATACAACCTACTACATTGGTAAATTTCTTAGGCCTAAGACAGTGTTGTGGGAATTAGGTGTTCAGCAGAGTGATGCCAAGGGGGGAAGAACTACCGTATTTTTGTGTCTAGTTGTTTTGGCATTCAATACCCTATAATGACTAGGTCCTGAGGGGAGCAGTTCAAACAGATTATATTCCAAGATTGAGGGGTCTATAGCTCTTTTCTCAGCCCTCTTTCTGGTTCGTGCAGTATATAGGTCCTCAGTGGAAGGCAGGCTGGTTGCAGTTACCTTTTCTGCAATCCTGACTATCCTTTGAAATCTGTATCTGTCCTGTTTGGTTGCTGTGCCAAACCAGACAGTTATTGAGGTACAAATGACAGACTCATTAATTCCTCTGCAGAACTGTATTAGCAGCTCCTTGGGCAATCTGAGCTTTCTGAGTTAACATAGAAGAAATTACTTGAAAATGACTGTTGAAATCTCATACACATGGTTGGTGACAACGTACTAGTATTTGGTGAGGAAACTTAGAAGTCAGCAAAATTTCACATTCCTCCCAGTGACTGGGAGCATCGAAACAAACTGTGCAATATGATCAAAACTGCTGAATAATTTGTGTGGAGCAAGAGAAGAAAAGTGGGTTGCAAGAGAGTGTGTGATTTGTATAAGTAGTCCTCAACTTACAACCATTCATTTAGTGGTTGTTTGATGTTACAATGGCACCAAAAAATGACTGATGATCTTTTCTCACACTTACGATCGTTGCGGCATCCTACAGTCACAGGATAAAAATGAACTTTGAACGGTCTCTGAACAAACTGTTGTAAGTCAAGGACTACCTATGTAGTAACACTCCCAATTCTTTAGTATCAGTTTAGAAGTTCTGGCTGTGAAGGTGTCTGTGAAATCAGGCAGAAATATTGTTCAGCCTGTTCTCTCTCTGTTCAACCTGAAATACCTCCTGCTGTGTCTCACTACAGCAGTCTGCAACCTGTAGGCTAGGGAGCAAAGAGATCTTTGCTTTGTTAGGTTTGTTCCAAGATTGTTATTCTCAAATTCTTCTTTCTCCATGTTCTTTCTGGTTTTCAGCAGTTCTGAAAGAATTATATTTTTTGGCATTAGCGTTTGCTATTTTCAAGATAAAGTATATGGTGTTTCATTGTTTAATCTTGGAGAGAAAACATCCCTGTAGCTCTGCAGTACCCTTCCTCCCTCCCTCCCTCCCTCCCTCCCTCCCTCAAATATAGATATATGTAAAGTGAGAGGAGAAAAGAAAAACTTAAAAGATTCCCTGTCTCTGGATATATTGCCAAGTATGAAAATATATCCTGAAGGATTATCCTTTGACCATTTGCTAGGAAGCTGTAAACCTAGATGAGAACAAAAATACTTAATCTTTCCAAACATTTACTTACTTATTCATTCTGGCAATTTTTCACTTGCCGCAGCCAAGAGATTCTCAAAGGGTTATAATCAGAATGATAAAATATCAGTAGTGCAAGCAAAATTACATAAGAATAAATAATTGTCCCAAATAAAATGACAGGAAAGAAATTGTAAAACAATGTCAATAGACCACCCAAGCAAGTGGTGACATCTGTAATTCAGAAGCCCTCTTAAAGCATTAGGTTTTGAGGAATTTTTTTTTTAAAAAAAACAAATTTTATTGTTTTTTTATTTTTAAGACAAAGTGGTGTTAGGGTAGTCAAATATCCAGAAACAAAACATATATACATAATTCAATCAATACATCAAGTATTCCCTCTCTTTTTCCCTTAAGTGACATGATTTATTTAAAATAGTCCAATTCTAGCTTAAATTTATTCAGCCTAAACCTGTTTTTAAAGCTTTATAAATTTACACTACCATAATCAAATTAACTTTAAATACAAACATCATCAATTTGGGTATCCCTTCCAAATATGTTCTAGTTCCTTAATTTTATCATAAATCTTATTTATTTCTTCTTCCACTAATATTTAAAATAAAATATTAATCTATCCTATACTTATCTAAACCATCCATCAATCAATCTCTTTAAACTGACAGAAAAAATCAGATCTTAAACCATTTCAATCCATTAGACAGAATTCAAATTTCATCCAATTAATTGTCATAACTAATAACATCCATGTTATCAAACAAACAGATCATCTTATTAGATTAACTTAACATTACATAATAATTTTCTTACAAGTAAACCTGTTCTAAAAAACACATATTCTTAATCAATTTAATATATATATTCCATTAATCACCCCTTTTTCTCTTATTAGAAATAATAATTTTCATATAGATAAACCTATCAATCCAAAAAGTACATTCTTAGTCAATTTAACATATATCTTCCATTAGTCACCCACTTCTCTTACATCTAGCTCATAGTCTTAGTCCTTAAATCAATCCATAAATTCTAAATTGCCTTTAATCCATTACATAAAATTTTAAATTTCACTTTTCAGTCTTATTCTGGGCTTCTTCATATGCCAGATAGGTTTCCATAGCAGAGCTTCCCTTCTAGCTGATAAGCGTCTCTTTATTGCTTGTAATATCCTTTGGATCAATGAAGACCATCTTGGCCTCTGCATTGGC